CTCCTCCTGCCCACCCCTTGTCCTGGCCCAGTATGTACTGTATATGTAGCACTACCCTCTTGAGGGCCACTGGGTTTTTTTTTTGTAGTCCGTAAATAGTCATTGAGCTGTTTTTTTTTAAGTTGTTTTTTAAGGGGTTAACAACTTGGATGGGGTCTAAGGGTATATGGGATGTCCAAGGAACTGTAAACTCGAGGACAACCTTCGTAGCAACCTGTACACTGTACAAAAAGATGTGAATCCAGAAAATAGAAAATAGAGCACTGTCTCCTTTTAGAGAGCTCTAAGCCCCCTTGGTGGACCTTTTTAGACCACAGATGTATCCTTCCTCTTCACCCAGCTGCACTGAGGGTATTACAAAAATATAAAAGAAAGCGCCAATCAACAATAATTCCTTTCTATAAAGCAGCAAATCTCTAACCCAACAAATATTGGTGAAAAGTAAAAAAACAAAATCAGAATGCGCTTAAATTATAAAATTCATATATCGTGCACAAAAAAGTCCAAACACCATAAATTTAAATAATCAATAAAGTCCCCAGTGAACAAATTATCATTCGTGCAAAAATCCAACGAATTTCTTCTTAAAAAACACCGTGTATTAATCCACCACCAGATGAATGGAATAAACTCACCAGAGCTAGATGCTGATCAAGTTATAAATCAGCACAAGCGTATTTGCTCTGGGAGCGATGAAAGAATCCAAGGAAGCAACCCTCTGTAAATTGAAATCCAGACACCAGAAGCAATACTCTGCAGCCACTCTGCGGCATGGCCAGGACCCCTTATAAATCGATCATCCTCCACATAAATGGTAATATCACTCCAAAATAAAGGAAAGGCATGATGGTGCAGTAAATAAAAACTGTGTATATTTATTAAAACTCCATTGTACTCACAAAACAAGTGTCCACCTGACACTGGTATAACAAGCGGTAAGGATATGAGGAAGCGTATAGTGGACGAACTCCGTTCACCGCGGACACCTCGCCGACAGCTGCAGGGAACGTCCTGACGTCATCCAATTAAGCTCCGCTTAATTGGATGACGTCAGGACGTTCCCTGCAGCTGTCGGCGAGGTGTCCGCGGTGAACGGAGTTCGTCCACTATACGCTTCCTCATATCCTTACCGCTTGTTATACCAGTGTCAGGTGGACACTTGTTTTGTGAGTACAATGGAGTTTTAATAAATATACACAGTTTTTATTTACTGCACCATCATGCCTTTCCTTTATTTTGGAGTGATATTACCATTTATGTGGAGGATGATCGATTTATAAGGGGTCCTGGCCATGCCGCAGAGTGGCTGCAGAGTATTGCTTCTGGTGTCTGGATTTCAATTTACAGAGGGTTGCTTCCTTGGATTCTTTCATCGCTCCCAGAGCAAATACGCTTGTGCTGATTTATAACTTGATCAGCATCTAGCTCTGGTGAGTTTATTCCATTCATCTGGTGGTGGATTAATACACGGTGTTTTTTAAGAAGAAATTCGTTGGATTTTTGCACGAATGATAATTTGTTCACTGGGGACTTTATTGATTATTTAAATTTATGGTGTTTGGACTTTTTTGTGCACGATATATGAATTTTATAATTTAAGCGCATTCTGATTTTTTTTTTTTGCACTGAGGGTATCCCTGGGCAAGGGATTCCAAGAACTGCCAGTTAAGGATGGAAACCATTTGGGTCTTGCACCTGACTGCCCTCTTACTTTTGCTGGCCAAGGAAGTGTAGGAATAATCACACTGTACAGTCAGCGTAGGGGTGGGGGGGTGGGGTGGTTGGTAGCTGCTTTCAGGCCTTTCGCTGGGCTGTCTCCTTCCCTGCTGCTCGGGATGTCCTCCCTAAGAGACAGTGGAACAGTGAAGATCCTCCTGTCCAGCAACCAGCCTGTATGTAGGTCCCCCTCCTGGTGGCCCCTCCCAGGCCTCACACTCCAGCACCTTCCTGAAGTCCATCTTTCACCCAACTCCCTTGCTCCTCAAGCTCTTCCACGTGTAAGGGTTGTCCTTGGTCACCATACCTGGCTTCGTGCCTGGGGATTGGCCAAGTTTCCTTAAACATGCAGAACTAGACTTCCTCCCCTCATTTGCCCTTCTTCCAGAATGTTCTCTGAGTTTCTGGAAGGGTGGGAGGGCTCCAGAAGCCCTGACCTGTAGAGCCTCCCAGCCTGTACTGAGGTGACCTCACCACCGCAGACCTCAAGCTGCTACGCAGTGTCTAGCTAACAAAAATCCTGCCTAGCTAAGCTAGAGGGCGCTACATATATTTGCTGTATATCCATTGTAAAACTATTTGAAAGATTCTTAAAATAATATACACTATATTGTCAAAAGTATTGGCCCCGCCCTCCAAATTATTGGATTCCGGTGTTCCAATCACCTCCATGACCACAGGTGTATATAATCAAGCCCCCAGGCATGCAGACTGCTTCTACAAACATTTGTAAAAGAATGGGTCGCTCTCAGGAGCTCAGTGACTCCAAGCGTGGTACCGTGATAGGTTGCCACCTGTGCAATAAGTCCATCCGTGACATTTCCTTGCTACTAAATATTCCACGGCCAACTGTTAGTGGGATTATAACAAAGTGGAAGCAACTGGGAACAACAGCAACCCAGCCACCAAGTGGTAGGGCACGTAAACTGACAGAGCGGGGTCAGCGCATGCTGAAGCGCACAGTGCGCAGAAGTCGCCAACTGTCTGCAGAGTCAATAGCTAAAGACCTCCAAACTTGTTGTGGCCTTCAGATTAGCACAACAACACTGTGTAGAGAGCTTCATAGAATGGGTTTCCATGGCTGAGCAGCTGCATCCAAGCCTTACATCATCAAGTGTAATGCAAAGTGTCGGATGCAGTGGTGTAAAGCACACTGCCACTGGACTCTAGAGCAGTGGAGACATGTTCTCTGGCATGACCAATCATGCTTCTCTGTCTGACAATCTGATGGACATGTCTGGGTTTGGCGGTTGCCAGGAGAATGGTACTTGCCTGACTGCATGGTGCCAAGTGTAAAGTTTGGTGCAGGGAGGATTATGGTGTGGGGTTGTTTTTCAGGGGTTGGGCTTGGCCCCCTAGTTCCAGTGAAAGGAACTCTTAAGGCATCAGCATATCAAGACATTTTGGACAATTTCATGCTCCCAGCTTTGTGGGAACAGTTTGGGGATGGCCCTTTTCTGTTCCAACATGACTGCGCACCAGTGCACAAAGCAAGGTCCATAAAGACATGGAGGAGCCAGTTTGGGGTGGAGGAACCTGACTGGCCTGCACAGAGTCCTGACCTCAACCCCATAGAACACCTTTGGGATGAATTAGAGCGGCGACAGTAGCTGGCCAGATAAGACCAGTCCTAGGTAGTTAATATGGTTCACATATATGTGTATACCAAACCTGCCAATAACCTCAGTACAGTGTATATGTGTATATGTTAAAGCCAAAAGCAGAATCATTGCTGTGATTTATGTCTTTGATTGTTATATGACATTTATATATTAATTGTGTTAGCAGAAGCAGAAAAGGAAAATATGCCTTTAAGAGTTAGTATAAGGTGCGCCAATCACAGACAGCCTCACACTGTACAGATCCTTAACCAATCCCAGCCAGTTTCACATTTATGCCTGTGTAAAACTCCCTGCTAGGATTTTCTAGAGACACATGCTCACCAGACAGAGGAGGAAACAGACAAAGTTCCAATCAGAGAAGCTCCATGGAAGTAGAGAAGGCCAAATAGGTATTTAATGCACTTGTGTGTTCCTCTATTGTTTAACAGTGCAGGTAGATCTGTGTCTAAAAACTGTTGTATGTGTTTACTTGTAGTTCCACCGAACTTACGAATCAAGTCACTGTAGAGTAATCTAACGAATTTATAAATCCAAGTGAATTTATCAATCTATCGAAATATACAGAACAAATTTATCGAATCTATTGAACCTATCGAGATAAGCTATCGAATCAACCCAATGTAATACGAATTAAACCATTGTAATATGAAAGAAATAAGCCATTGTAAGCAGTGTTATATGAAGAAGATTGAAGTTATTAAAGAAGTTAATTAAAGTATTCGGTGTGCTCTTTAAACCTACTGCATCCATAGAGCGGCATTGGAGGAATTACAGAGTAAAGTCAGTCTAATCAAACAAAGAAACAGCAATTGCATAATTTTTCTAATGCCACAGTGCACTAGGCACCAAAGGGTGCTGCGCCTGCCACAGCGACTGTGAGCCAGGCCTTCAGATCCGACATCAGTGCCTCACCTCACAAATGTGCTTCTGCAAGAATGGTCAAGCCTTCCCATAGACACCCTCCTAAACCTTGTGGACGGCCTTCCCAGAAGAGTTGAAGCTGTTCTAGCTGCAAAGGGCGGGGCCAACTCAATATTGAACCCTACAGACTAAGACTGGGATCCCATTAAAATTCATGTGCATGTAAAGGCAATATAGTGTATTTTGGCATCATATATGCATACCTCCCAATTTTTTGAGATCGGAGCAAGGGACACCTATTAGTAAAAGTATGTCCACCCCACACCCCCTGCCACGCCCCTTTAAAGGAGAATTCTAAAAAAAAAATAATTTGTTAAACTCATAAGTGCTTTTTTTACTACTACAATTCCTTTTTACTGGCTTTGGAAATTTACAAATGCAGGAATTTAGAAATTGGATGAAAGTTCAGCACAGGAAAAAAACATTTTTGAGAATAAAAAGTGCATTTTCTATGCAACTATAGAGATCAGACCAAAATGAGGGACAAATGAGGAGGAAGGAGGGACAGAGTGACTTTGTTCCAAATGAGAGACAGTCCCTCGAAATTAGGCACAGTCCCTCGAAATCAGGCAAAGTTGGGAGCTATGTATATGCTGTGGGTGTGCTGACTGTTCATGTACTATATTTAAATTTACCTAACAGAGGGGGTGTGTTTGGCCCCCTGAGTTATATTACGCACCCCTGTAGCTATTTTCTGTAGGCTCATTTGGAAAGGTGTTCAGGATCAGGGGCGGACTAACCATTTGGAAACTTGGGCACTGCCCGAGGGCCCGGGGTCAGTAGGGGGCCCCATGAGATGCCCCTGGTACCTTTTTCATAGGCTTTTTTGAGTTTGGGCAAGGACACAGGGGCCCCATGATCCCCTATTGCCCGGGGGCCCCATGAGTTGTCAGTCCGCCCCTCAGGATGTTCTCATTTCCTATGCATATGCCTTCACTGCATTGACTTTACATTGATGTCACCTCAGCATAGTATGGAGAACATTCTACTTGTCTTTGACTGAAAAGATGGGACTGTATTTGTTCCGAAATTGCTTGTCATTCTACCCACTCTCATAGATGTGGGCTGTCATGTTTGCTTCTTGCTGACAATACTTTTACGGATACCTTGAATGATAAACACGAATGGGAACTGCCATGGTTGTCTTCTGGAGACAATTCTGACCGGCAAATTTGCTTTTGTCAGCAGACAATATTCTACTGAGATGAGAACAAACAAACCTTCTCCAGAATTCTGCACTGAAATTTCAAATAGCTGTTAGGATGGCATCAGAAGACGGTGTGCGCAGGGGCAGACTGACAACTCATGGGACCACCCCTGGGTAATAGGAGATCATGGGGCCCCCTGTGTCCACACTCAAGCCAAACCCACAGAAAGCCCCACCTACATATTTCAGCTCAGCTGCATAAGGGGCATTTAAATATTTATCGCAGCATAGCCTGCATGGTAGTTCCCAGCTTCTTTCTGTAGAAGCCTCAGGGCACTTCCAGGTTTAAAAATGGCTGCTTGCGGCAGGCATCTTTATGATGCACCCAGGGGAATTTTATGAAAGCAGCGGGCCTGTGTGCGAGATCATAATTTGGGCCCTAATACCATATAAAGAAGTACGGCTCAGAAGACATTGGGTGTGGTTTTCGGGGGCTGTAGGTAGCGCCTGCTGGTTATTGAGTACAGTGAAGATGCCCGAGGGTTGAGGGATAATTTAATTGTACGGCCTTTCGGCTCCCAATCAGCTTTTTTCTGAAAGGACTGATAACCATCCATAACTTTTTTTTTTTTTTTACTGACAAAACATGGAAAATCTACTGACAGGGCGCACTTTTTAATGAGAATCTGAAATATGACAAACTCCTATTAGAAACTAAGAGAGGAAGAAGGGTAGGAGAGAGAAGGAGGAGAAGGGGGAGGAGAGAGAAGGAGGAGAAGGGGGAGGAGAGAGAAGCTGGAGGAGGGGGAGGATAGATGGGAAAGCAGGAGAGAGATGGAGAAACGGGTGGGGGAGAGAGGGAGGGGAGAATAGGGGAGGGGGGGAGAGGGAGAGGGGGGGAGAGACAGAGAAGGGTGAGAAAAGATAGCATGAGAGAGAGGGGGAAGGGTGAGAAAGAGAGGGAGGGGTGAGAGGGAGGAGGGGTGAAAGAAAGGGGGGTGAGAGGGGGCAAAAGACAGAAAGGGGTGAGAGATGGGGGTGAGAGACAAAGAGGGGGTGAAGGGGGGGTGAGAGACAGAGGGAAGGTGGGGGGGTGGTTGAGAGGGTGGGTGAGAGCCAGAGAGGGAGGGGTGGGAGAGGGGGGGTGAGAGAGAGGAGGTGATGGGGAGAGAGATGGGATGAGGGAGAGGGGAGAGAGAGGGAACCACCAGGCCCCATTCTGAGCCACATTCTTGTCTGAATAATGTGTCTGGGCTTCAGACAAACACTTTATTCAGACAGACCTAAATATACTGCCCCTATATGACATGTGTGCATCCTCTCATGGGGCCCTCTACTGACCCTGGGCCCTCGAGGTCAGTCTGCCCTTGGGTGTGTGCCAGTGTATAGAAGAAGGGTCATTGCCAGCTGGTTGCATATGCACTAAATGGCCTATTTAGGGAACAGAGCTGATCCAGGCAGCTTCTGGATGGTCTTCAGTTGTACCTTCAGTTCAGATGCAACCTAAACCTGCATTTGTTCCCCAGAACAGTTTACCCATTGCTGATTTGGCCTGCCCTGGTCTCTGCTCTGACCTCCTGTTGAGAACCAGCCTGTGGATGGTACGGAGTGGGCACACCCTTGAGTTTGTAAGTCCACAGGGTTCTTGGGCTATGCAGAGTAGTAGGCAGGGTCACTCACCCTGCACATGGGGTACCTTTCTGTGCGTGCACGTGCTCACCAATGCCTAGGACTGGGTAGAGACAGAGTTCAAGTGAAATCAACCTTAAGGTGGACCCCCGACTTAGAGATGAGCCATGCACTGTGTGTAGTGATTAAATGTAAATAATTCCTTTGTGAAGCTTTACATTCCATGCCACTACACACCTTGCTGTAACATGTCACATTTAGGAGGATACCGCTGAGACTATGCCCACTCCACCTGTCCAGCATACTTCTGCCACCTCAATCACAGTAACAGAATGGGGTCCAGCCAAGCACCTGCTCGGACGTCATGCATCTCACTTTCTCTCCAGTACCTTGCAGCTAGGCTGCGGGTCTCCGTAATAATAGTTCAATCCCGGTAGCTATGTGGAACCGACCGCTGGGGAGGGAATCAGAACAACGAACCCCTCGCTGCCGGAGAACCATGCCAGGCACCACACTTCATGACAGGCTGCTGAAATGCTTCACACCAGGCTGCTGAAACGCTCTACACTAGTCTTTGGTTACCCATGGTAATTACTCTCTTCCTCCATTCTTGATGCCGAGTTAACCCTTTGTACCAGACTTGCTTCATACCCCATATGTGCTTTAACTGACCCAAGTTCTTGTAATTTCCATTAGCCTTTCTGGACCAAATTGTGAGTAACTTCAGACAAGGCTCAGAAATGATTTAATGAACTTTATTAACTTTGTAGTGCAAGTGCATAATATGAACATCAGAGTCCAATGCATCCATCCCTAACTCACTATACTAGTCTGTGGCATACCTTTTAAGGTGAAAGTCCATTTCTTGATACAAGTCCATAATGTGGCGATTCTCCATTAATCTCGGAGTTGTTGGGAGGACTGTAGGACCAGCATTCCCCTCCACAGCACCGTAATACAGCAGCTTCAGAAGCCAAAAGGAGAGCAAGCAGCACCAGTACCCCGCTTTCCTCCTTTATACTGTATATGCTTCACAGGGGGTAGGCAAGGTCCAAAAAGCCTGCAAATAGTATCAAAATAGTTTAACCACTTTTCTTGCCTGGGTCAGCCACCATCTATCTAACTAATCCTGATACCATCTTTTTGTTTGTTTGTTTGATGCTGACTTGGCTAGTTCTTTGCCTTGACTAATTTCTGTTGACTTTCCAACGTGACCCCGGTCTGCCTCCTGACCATGATTTTGCTGGCTTCCTGAAGAGATCTCTGCCTGCCTCCTGACCATGATTCTAATGACTTCCCAATGTGACCTCAGCTTGCCACCTTACCATGATTTTTCTTACTTCCTGGTGTGACCTTGGCCTGCCTCCTGATCACAATTCTGTTGACTTCCCAGTGTGACCCCTGGCTGGCCACCTGAATGTGATTCTGCTTGCTTCCTGTTTAGACCTCAGCCTGTTTACTGACCATGATTCTGATGACTTCCCAGCGTGACCTTGGGTTTACCACCTGACCACAATTCTGCTGACTTCTTAGTGTGACCTTGGGCTACCTCCTGATCATGATTCTATTGACTTCCCAGTGTGACCTCTGACTGGCCCCCTGACTATGATTCTATTGGCTTCCCAATGAGACCTCAGCCTGTCTACTGACCATGATTCTGATGACTTCCCAGTGTGACCTCAGGTTACCACCTGACCACGATTCTGCTGACTTCCTAGTGTGACCTTGGCCTGCCTCCTGATCACAATTTTGATGACTTCCTGGTGTGACTTCAACTTGCCTCCTGATATGATTATGCTGATTCCCCAGTGTGACCCCAGTCTGCCTCCATACCATGATTTTACTGGCTTTCTGGTGAGACTCTGGCATGCCTTCTGACAATTATTCTGATGACTTCCCAGTGTGACCTCCGCTTGCCACCTTCCATGATTTTTCTGATTTCCTAGCGTGACCTTGGCCTACCTCCTGATCACGATTCTGTTGACTTCCCAGTGTGACCTCTGGCTGCCCCCCTGACTATGATTCTGCTGGCTTCCCAGTGTGACCTCAGGTTATCACCTGACCACAATTCTGCTGACTTCCTAGAGAGACCTTGGCCTGCCTCCTTATCACAATTTTGAAGACTTCAAGGTGTGATCTCAACATGCCCCCTGACCTTGATTCTGCTGCTTTCTCAGTGTGACCTCATTCTGCCTCCTGACCATGATTCTGCTGGCTTTCTGGTATGACCCTGGTCTGCTTCCTGACCTTAATTCTAATGATTTCCCAGTGTGACCTTGGTCTGCCTCCTGACCACAATTTTGCTGCCTTCCCAGAGAGACCTCAACATGCCTTCTGACCATGATTCTGCTGATTTCACAGTGTGACCTTGGTCTGCCTCCTGACCTCGATGATGCTGGCTTCCCAGTGTGAGCTTGGTCTGCCTCCTGACCACGATGATGCTGGCTTCCCAGTGTGAGCTTGGTCTGCCTCCTGACCACGATGATGCTGGCTTCCTGGTGAGACATAAGCCTGCCCCCTGATCATAATCCTGCTGATTTCCCTGTGTTTCTTCATCTAGCTTCCTGACCACAATTCTAATGAATTCCCAATGTGACCTTGGTCTGCTCCTGACCACGATTCTACAAACTTCTGGATGAGACCACAGTCTGCCTCCCAACCATGACTCTGCCTTGCCTGCTGTCTGGCTTCTCAGTTGCTGATCATCGCCTGTCTCAGATCATGCCTCTAGCCTGTCAGGGGTTCCAATGTTCTTGCTAGCTGCAGTCCAGCGTGCTTTGTCAGTGCAACTTCTCCAATGACTCTGCTCCTCTGTAATGTATACATAGAATAAACATTAGAACAATCTTCATATGATATTCTATAAATAAGTATTTTTAACATCTAGTAAACTCTCCTTTAAAGTGTGTCATGCCAAAAAAAACAAAAATCTTTGCAATACGAGGATATTTTCTTGCATTTTACATTGGCACACATGTAAAAATTCCCCACTCTGGATTGCATAGGTGATTCAAGCGGAAGTTACAGGTCCCA